TAAGCGCTACCTGATGGTTACGAACCTTTATGAATTTCATTTCTGTTAAACCAGGAGTCACCAAATATGGTACCGATGGGCACCAGATAGCTCACGAGGCTCTCGTGTGTTGCTCACAGGCCTGTTCTAAAATAGCTCACCATAACACCACTTACAAGTAAGCTTTCTCTAATATAGAAGTAATCATTTAAAATGTAAATATTTGCAAAGATAAATAAAATAGTGTTGCACGTTGATATATTAATTACGGGGTATTTCCTACCCTGTTAAATCATTGTTGGTAACTTTGAGAGAATCATAACATGATCAGTGACTACACCTGGATGAATATTATTCATTATTAAAAAATACCAAAAACTTAAATTATAATTATAAGTAAATTGAGCAATTTGTTATTTGAGAAGTGTTTATCCAACTGGTAGCCCTCCACGTTAATCGGTGCCCGAAAGTAGCTCTTAGTTTCAGAGGTTAGTGACTCCCGTGTTAAACGCTAAAGACAACATTTTGAAGAAAGCTGAAAACCTGTAACCATTGACTTTCACAGGAAGGAAATAAATAATAAGGAAGTCAATGCGGCTGTCCGTAGTGCCCAGCCACAATTCATGACACTTCGTATTCTGCCGCGCCGCGGAGCGTTATTTGTATAATTGATTAGTTTATTTGATAAAGTATGAATGCTTGAGTCTGGTGTGCATTAATCTACTATTCTCTGTCGTAAGTGCGTCGCGTCACCGTGCCGTCGGCGCCTCTGGTGCGCGACGCCCTTCAGGCAGAGTTTGTTACGGCCAAGATCGGATTTAGATCATTTCTCTTCTATTCCGGAGATTGCTGCAAAGGCATCCCTGCGGGATAATGCGCATGTGTGTTTGATGTTCTAGATGGAGAGCAGTTTATGCTTAGCGTGATATTTTTCTTCCAGCATATAAAAGGGGACTGATTGTCGATTTATTCAAGTAGCTTATTAATGCTTGAAATTCTATCACTCCAAATTGATGCTTAAGAATTCTATGAAAGTGCTTAAGCCGGAGGTTCTTCCGCAATGAGAATGCAAATATTAGAAAACCGGTCTCTAGTTTAGCTGGGGGATATTAGGGAGAGAGAAACGGGAACTTGTAGGTGATTTACGTGCAAGCACCGTAGTTATTGGCGAAATCCAGCGGATCGTTTTTAAGCATAAATGTGTGGGCTACTTTTGCATCCGAATGTTAAACGGACTACGAAATGTAATTGTGACCTCCGATTGCCAGAAATCGGGTGGCGGGTGTAATGTTGATTGCAACCGAGCGCTGCAGCCGTCTAGATTAGAGAGATTGCTTGGTTTATAACGTGATAATTTAAGCATATTCATCAGGTAGAATCATGCTGTTAAAGCTGAAAAAGGCAGAATTATGAGGAGATGAAAGAGCCGTTATTAGACGTTTTTAGAAACGTTCTAATGTCCCTTTCAGTAGGGCTGGTATGGATGTGCTTAACAGGGAATTGCTCTGTGATTTCTGGTGTAGTGTTGGTGGACGGCTAGTGAGGTTGTGGGAAGGGAGCGCCGAGATCGGCTGTGCTTCAGTAGACGAAACCTGGAATGAGAAATTCAGAAAATTAGGTCAGTTACAAACGAAATTCAGTAGAAGCATAAACATATTGACAAAAGTCGACAAGTAATTTCTATTTTATAATAGAAAATAATCAGCAGTAGCTGCGAGCTTGTAAAAATGAGAGGGGGAAAAAGCAATGATACGCAAGGTAGAGGGGCGGGGTGCGTAGGTGGTAAGGATCGCTGAAAGAGGAGGACTGGAGTGTGCACTGGAATCGGGAGCTGCAGGATGGAAGAGGTGAGGTGGGATTCCCAAGAGTTGCTTTATTGTCCGGGAGATAGGTTTTATCCGTGTTTAGAATTATGATTGCTGCAATATGTCCAAATCCAATATTGCTTTTTAATCCTTTCCTTGATTCTCCGGGGAGGTGGAGAGATTGCGGGTTTAATGTCTGTTTAGGATAGGGGGTGTGGCAGGAGCGTGTTATGTCCTGGGGGTGGCGGTGAAGACGTGGATTCGCAAGTGTTTTGGGTTTAATGCAGCGGCTTTGAATTATGGTCCCGGCGTCTAGGAGTTTGGAGGAGTTCAGTGACAGTCGTTGTTGGATATGAGTGACACATGATGATGCTGGAGAAGGTACGTAGCGGAGCTGGGGATTGCATTGTGATCTGGCTGGAGTGGATAGGCCTACGGCCTCTCGTTGGAGCCTCGGTCTCGAGCTGACTTTCATGCTGGGCTGGTTGTTGTTAAGACGGGGCTGGTGTTTCAGGGAGCCCGGAGCTTTCTTTCTTGTATGTAGCTGCGCTGATGCTGTTGTGATCTCAGCCGCCGTCGCTGTTGTTGTTGTTGTTTTTGTCATTTTTTGTAGTTGCTGACGATGGTATTAAAGGTGGTGTGGTATTGTAGTTGAAGAATAGTAGGAGATGTGGAGGATCCGTTTTGTCCGTGAGTAACTTTTGGAGGAGCTAGAGCGGACCTGTCGTTTGTTTCTTCGGAAAACGAAGATAAGGGAGTAATGTCTAGCTAGGCTACTTATAGTGGGTTAGGATAGATCTGATTGGCTAACTAATGAGTGTAGATAGGTGGCCAGCTGCTGTCAATTATATCACGTGCTCCTCTCGAAATTAGTTTAAAAACTTCACATGTAGAACTTTTGAAATCCAAATTGTGTCTTTGCTGCTTATTTTTTTCTCTCTCGCATATTAAATTATAAATACTGCTGAGTATTTTCAGCAGACACTATGAAAATACAAAATAGAAAGCATATAACATTCAAAATATGCATTTCTCATAGTCATTTTCACAGTTTCTCATTTAAATGTCCTCTGGTATGCATATGAACATGTCTGAATCTAGTCTTTAGTTACTTTGACCCATAATGCAATGGTCCCCCACTCCACTCAACTTAAACATGTGATCCATTATTTTCTGGCAAATATTTTCAAGAATAGATGAACTCAAATTAATATGAGTTTATAACAGAAACACAAATATGTACAACTTTGTGAAAAACGTGTCTTTGACATTTACACAACTCCTTTAAAGGATTGTTTGGCTGCATTAATTAGAACAACAAGACCCGCCAATAATGCTTATATTAGTCTGTTTCTCTTTATCCAGAAGTCTGCATATTCTTAGATCCAACCAGTATCCTGAGCAGATGGCTGTCATGGTCATGGATGAGTTGAGAACCTGAGACTGATTCCTGCAATGAAACCAGTTACAGCTGAGTCTCCCCATTGATCCTTTGGACTAGTCTGAACTCCTGCCACTGACCTACTCAGACCTGCAGCTTCTCTCCATGATAGACCTTCATCATTCTCAAGTGTCCGGTGCCCAGACTGCAGCTCTGCACAACATGTTTGGCCAGAGGAGAACTGGTCATGCCCGGCTGAGCCTGGTTTCTTTTAAGGTATTTTTACTTCACTCACATCCATTGGTGAAGTTTGTTCCTCAACACTGACTTGCATGGTTTGGGACATTTACATTACACTGAACTTAACTGTGACAGCTCAACTGAAGCCGTTTTAATTTACTAGAACTACACTACCTGACAAAAGTCTTGTCGTCTATTCAAGTTTTAGGAACAACAAATAATAACTTGACTTCTAGTTGACCATTTGGTATCAGAAGGTGAAGGCCTCTAGATTACGCTTATATCACCAAAAAAAAAATATGATCATGCCTTGATTTTTAATGATTTAATTAGGACAGTAAAGTCTGACTTTGCTTAGACAAAAGTCTTGTCACTTAACAGAAATAATGTCCAGTATAGAATATAAAGTCATGGTGCAGTGGAAAAAGAATGAATATTGTGCGACTCCGATGAGCTTGAAGGACTGCATCCATACATCTCTGCAATGACCTTCTTTGCTTTCAGGAACTTTGATGTGGAGGCTGGCTGAAGTATGAGAAGGAGCACTATCCTCTGCTGTGGTTTGTAATGTAATGGGCAGCACAAATGTCTTGATACCTCAGGCTGTTGATGTTGATATCCACTCTGCAGATCTCTCACAAGGCCCCATACTGAATGTAACCCCAAACCATGATTTTTCCTTCACCAAACTTGACTGATTTCTTTGAGAATCTTGGGTCCACGTGGGGTCCAGTAGATCTTCTGCAGTATTTGTGATGATTGGGAAGCAACTCAACAGATGATTCATGGAAAAATCTACCCTCTGCCACTTTTCCAAATGACCAACTAGAAGTCAAGTTATTATTTGTTGCTCTTACAACTGGGATCCACGACAAGACTTTTGTCAGGTGGTTTATGTAAAGCTGCTTTGACACGATCTACATTGAAAGTGCTTTAGAAGTAAAGATGAATTGAATTGAATAAGTTGTAAAGTATACAGGCTTCACTAAACCGTTTCATAAAACCTGAAACAATGTCGCCGTATATTTATGGTAACTCAACTGCTAGCGGAGGACAGTTCAACACTTTAACTGTAGGAGTGCATGAAGTTCATATTGAGTGAAATGAAAAACACTTTATATTTCAAATGTGCTCATTTTTATTCATCAAACATCAAACATATATACACAATCCTATAGGACATGTCTTTGGACTGTGGGGGAAACCGGAGCACCCGGAGGAAACCCACGCGAACACGGGGAGAATAAGCAAACTCCACACAGAAAAGCCAACTGGCCCAGCCGGGACTGGATCCAGCGACCTTCTTGCTGTGAGGCAACAGTGCTAACCACTAAGCCACCGTGCCGCCCCTCCTTCTCTTCATCTAGACACGAACACCGGCTCCATTCAGCTCTTTTTCGTGCAACCATAAACACCAGCCTCAATTAGCTCCTCCTTGTCGTGCAACAACAAACACCAGCCCCAATTAGCTCCTCCTTTTCACGCAAGCACAAACACCAGCCCCATTCAGCTCTTTCTATTCGTCAAGCCACAAACTGCCCCATGTTTGTGGCTCGATGAATTTTTGTAGCTGAATAAAGAAGAGGAGCTTGGTGTTAATGCCTTGGTGAAGAGGAGGAGCTTGGTGTTAGGTTGCTCGATGAAGAGGAGGAGTTTGGTGTTAGGTTGCTCGATGAAGAGGAGGAGTTTGGTGTTAGTAGCTGGATGAAGAGAAGGAGCTTGGTGTAATCTTCTTCATGTCCCAGGATCTTCTTCAGCTGTGCTGTTATCTGGTTGGAAAGAGAAAATGTGCAATATTAGTTTCATGTAAGATCAACATTTCAACACAAAAACTGGAACAAGACTTGCGTGAGAAGACCAGTTTCAATTTGGCCACTTCTCAGATTAACAGTTCAACAAGTGACGATTTGTGACAAACATTTAAGTAGAATATTTTGTACATTTCAGGAGTCATGTCGGGGTTTTTGTTGTTATTAAACTGACCTGAATTTCAATATAGACTGTATTTTTTCTTTTAAGGTTTTCTTCTCTTTGCTTGGCTTCAGGATCAAGACCTGGAACCAGTTATGGTGGAGGATCTCTTCAAGAGGAATCCGCTGTCGCGGATTTCTTTGCAGACAGGAACAGATCATGTCGATGCATTCTGTGAAGTAAGAAGGAACACATGTCAGGTTATTAGATTGTCACAAACCTTTCGGTTGCTGTAAATGATCACATTGTTTTCAGTTGTTGTTTCATCATCCACATGCTCTCACCTTTGGATAGTCTGTCACGCTCCCAGGTTCTGGCGACAATCTCAATGAGCTCTCTGTGAGGGGATTTTCTGTGCAGCAGCCTGTACAACATTATACCTATAGAGTACACCGTTGCAGGCTTGGCGTGGAACTTTTTACAATCAGAAAACTCCGGAGGAGCATAAGCCTGTGTGCCTGGAAGAAAGATCAAGAACAGTTAGATATTTATCACATTAACAACAAAACTGATCTGCTGATGTCTTTGTGTTGCCTAGAAGGCTCAATATAAGTTGTCTTCATCATAATACACACCACCGAATGTTGAATAGCCTTCGCTGGTCATGATTCTACCAACACCAAAGTCTATTAGCTTGATCTGGAAGGTGTGGGGGTTGATGAGCACGTTTTGCGGCTTGATGTCGCTGTGGTAAACGTTCATTTCACAGCATGCAATTGCAGCAGTGACCACCTGGTGCATCACCAATCGTACTACCGATTCAGTCATTTTCTTGCGATGCTTCCATGCAAACTTTTGCAGGTCCATGCAGGAATTGGGACGCTCCAGCACCAGTGTGTACTGGCTCGGCGTCTCATACCAATCCAGCAGCTGTATTATTTGAGGAACGTAAGGACCTGTGCTCACCAAATACATCAATCCGACCTCTAGTGGAACAGTCTTCTCATATGGTAGCTGCAGGAGAAATAACAGACATATGATAGTGAGACGTGAATGGACTGAAGATGAGGTCAGTATTTTAACAACTTTAACACTGTGTACTTACAATCTTCAAGGTTCTTCTTGCTTCAGTCTTGCTCACATTTTTGATTGCCACCTGTTGACCAAGAGAAAGCGACAGTTAATTCACACGATCAGTCATGTAACATTCATCAAATTGAAATAGCAAGAAAGCACTTTTTAATGTTTGAAACAAACCTTTCGTGAATCCGACCGACGAACTCCAGCACAGACAGCTCCAAACCCTCCACGACCTATAATCCCTTTGACTCGATATTCGTCATTGATGTCACCTGTAAAAAAATCAGTGAAACAAATAATGAAGGACATTTATAAACCATCAAAAAGCCGATTGAAGATTGCTTTAGAATATTTATTATTAAGCTATTAGGCCTCACCAATATTTGATTACTCTCCTTCAATATTATTTTGGAGGATTTGTACTCAGTTACAGTTTAAACTGGCAACCCCTACTTTACCTTGAGTACATTCCCGAAGAAAGGATCAACAGTACTTTTACTCCAATATTTAGTGGTGTTTAAGTATTTATAACATTTGTCTCATCTTTATTTTTCTTACATCTTTAGCTAGGGCTGCACATTTCTGGTAAAATAGATGATGTTGTGATGTATTCATAACAATATTTCCCAGAGAAATGCCATTTTAACTGGCTATTTTTAATGTATTGATGTATCACTCATAGTCATTTTTCATAGTTTGTTTTTTGCTGTTTCACTTTCCTCTCTTGTCTACTTCTGCCATTAACTGTTCATTTTCACTCTCTTTTTGTTTTTGATGTATTGTGCAGCTCTAATCTTTTACAGTTGAACATTTTAGCTTGGCATGGATGAGCCAAGTTCAGTTTTCTAAATAAACTCAAATAAGCTACTTAACATATCAACACTTGCTGATATATAAATCAGGGCTCTGATTCACAAAATAAATCAGATAAAGATAAACACTAATAAGTGCAATTCTTAAAATGAAACCTAAAGATCTATTTTGCACTTCAGAACATGTCATGTATAGCTACAGCAAATTCGTTATAATATACATATTTGAACTTGGTAATATGTCCACCTGCATTTACTATCTGTACTTTAACTAATTACATTTATCAAATGC